CAGACCAAAGTATGGTGGCCCGTGGTGTGGTTTTTGGTAGATACTACAAAAAGGTTGGTAGATTTCAGTAAAATGGTTAAAACGGAGATTTCGCCCGTAAACTGGGTAGAAATCCTGTTTCATGTCTTAACTTCAATTTTGTGTGTGAAAAATTGTGCATCTTGCATTTCAAACCTTCTAAAGACCAATGAAATACCCGGATGTGCTTCCAGTAGCATATCCTGCTAAACCACTTTTTCCAATTACAGCATCCGCGCCATATTCGTCGGAGTCAACGTGTATGAAAACTGATACACTATTTGAGTTTTAGCCCTCGCGCATTGCTCATTTATGTTTGCACTGCAGTGCATTTGGTGCAAAATGTGAAAATACGACAAGGTGAAGAGGGAATGTGCGAAGAATTTCGCTGCTGCTGTACTATCATCTTCCCAGGCGTGGGTGAACTTGCAGAGCCATAATGCCGGATTCGTTAGATGAAAAAGATGCGCAGGGAATAAAATCCCGACCACCCAAATATACCCCCCAAGACCTTTCCCCGGCTGAGATATGGAAAACTGCTCTTTGACCGGTAGACATTCCGAAACTTGTCAGAAATCGTCTCATTTTGCAGCAAAATCTCTTATCGTCAACTGATATGGCAAGTGCTGCATTTACGCTTCACAGCTTTATCACTCACCACCCCCATCAGGGCAAGTCAGCTTTACATCCACCCTGGCAACGCTACAGGCCACAGCTGGAGCCAGAATCCTAAGGCTACAGGACGCACATTCCTAAATAAGCTTCAACAACTTCTCAGCGAGCATCCAATGTTGCGGGACCGTCAGGCCCGCCCTTACTCATCTGCACCATCTAGTGATCTTGAAAAGGTAGGGAAATGTAACATATGGTTAAAAATTAAGTCAACTTGTTAAGTGAATTCAAAGTGGCAGAAGTGCTGTCTTTTTACTCAGGTGGTGGAGGTTTTCCGCCGCCTTCGTACCCCATCTTTGTGAGAGACGTCATTGGTGCACCCTCGCCGACGTCCATCCCGTAAATACAAAGTGTGAGGGCACTTGTGTGTGCTGTCTTATGTTACGTACTTATGTATGTATGTATGTATTTATGTATGTGTTGCATACTGTGTCCCATTAACACAAATTTTGAGGGTACTTACGCATTTTGCATTTCTTTACGTAGGTCCTTGCTGAGCGCTTCCGGCTTAAGTTGTTTGGAATAGATCGCTGGTGAATGGGGTACACCATCTTTCTGTCAGGGGCAGGTTGCGAGCGCATTGAATCAACAACTTTGTATCTCTGGTGCAAACCAACGCTATCTCCCAGCTGAAAATGCTTCATTAAATGTCCTGGACCGAAAACCAATCTGGTTATGGGAATACTTCGTTTAAACCAGCTCGCGAAGAGCGGCGTTTCACGCCACCGTAACATTGGTGCCATGTGGTTAGTCCCATGATGACGTCACAGCGCCGTCTACCCAGAATGCAGTAACGCTTGGCTGCAACTATGCCCGAATCAAATGTTGCCAAGATCTGCCACAGTTTGCAAAATGGGACACGGGGAATGCAGTCATGTGTGTTTGGCCATTTTCTGCATGCATGTTATCTAGTATCTACGTGTCTATGTATCCTGTCTCTAACGTCCACTTGTGGTGCCACCAAAATAAGTTTTGCTCCAAGACTGGTTGGTGGAATGTCTGGAGACGTCAAAACCACTGCTCCGCCATAACCTAAGATAGATCATAATCATACTTTCCTCGCTACACCACCTACGTGGCAAGAAGTCATGATTCTTAATCCTGACAGTTGACTTTGGCTCCTTGCCAACCCAACAATCCCCTCCGCAGCTCCGAACAGGTGACCGCAAGCTTCTAGGACTTCACTAAAGCGCGTAAATACTAGACGCATAAAATATTATATATACGTATATACGCATAAAATATGCGTGCATGCTGGACGCCATTTCACCCAACTCATTAGCGGACCTACTCCGCTATGTATCAGTTTTATCCAAGGCGTTTAAAGCACTGGGTAGCGCTAAGCTGAACAAACAGCCCAGGCCCCATCCCATACCCGTGCCCCCTTGACATTTTTCTGCTAACCATTTTGGAAATAACCAGTTTAAAAATATTCATGTTGGGTGAAAAAGCCCTCACTACCAGAATGTAAACACATCTAGTCAAGTATGATGATCTACAGAGAATATTAGCTTGTCGTTGCTGCACATTTGTTAGCTGTACTTGTCACCTGACAGTTTATTCACATTAACTTTGAAGTCGTAGATCCGTGGAGAGTGAATGGAGGACCACTTATCAGCTGAGCCGATCCACACTGGTTACACGACCATCGTACTTCTACTACCTCATTCCTGACCTATATCTCACCCTTACACGGCCTTGATTTCTGGCGGTCAGGTGGGTGACTCTTAAATGCGGACATGGACATACTGTGATTTGACATCAACAAGAAGGGCACCATATGATAGGAACTCGCAGGTTTGACAACTGAAGAAGACACGAACACAAAATAGACAGATTCTACAGGGCTATTCCCTTTTTGTTAACATTAGATAGCAGAGGCCATTAATATTCTCTCAGCTAAGGGGGAAATGCTGGGTTTGATTTTTGGTGATCTATTTTCAGTCAACGCCCAGTCAATAATGGCCCTCCAGTCACTTTGACCCTTCAATCAACGTCGCCCTTTCAGACAACATTGGCCGTTCAGTCAACATTGGCCCTTCAGTCAATATTGGCTCATTTCGACAGCGCTAATGTCATCAAAGAACTCTTCGCTGCACCACTGCCATAATTTTAGGGAGACCCTGATAGCAGGAGCTCTATCGGTGTTTTTGTAACATTGAAATCGGGAGGGGTATTGCAATATTTTAATGCAATTAATTAGCGCATTCAAACGCGCCACGCCGCTGTAGGCAAGCTTACAGTACAAACGTAACATTTTTCCTACAAGTACATCCCACTTGTAATCCCGAATGGACCCACTTCGAAGAAGTTGTTCGCTTGATTCTAGGCAACTATTTCACGTGGGTTTCAAATACAAGTTAGCAAAATCACATGCTTGATTTGGGGACCCTCTCTGTTGCATTTGTATGAATGAGGAGAAACCTACCAGCGCCAGGGTGCGGTGTGCTTCTGTATGCATGTATCATTCTTGTGCCTGTATATGAAGTGCGCTGTTTACCCTTTTACTACGTCTATTTAAGTCTGTTATTATCTACCTATAAAGTATATCTGCTAAGTCTAAGCACTGCTTACTAAGTCCAAATAAATACAGATCTGCAGTACAGACGTTGTCTCAAAATACACACCGCTACATGAAATATTAATGAATCATCATCTGAGCCCAGACTGCTAAAACATTCTGTGCATTGAGCGGAGGGAGAGGGCATACCTCTCGCATAAATCTGGCGAGGCTTGTACAAAGGTTAAAACAATACCACTCACAACCGGTATCAGAGTCTTATGTTCTCGAACCAACCAATGACAACGAGAAACACAGATCTATTGTCTCGAAAAGAACCAGTGGGAACCAGCATCCATTAATCTGTTTGGCCGAAAGATCTAGTGGGAACCAGCATCCAGTCCGTATTTTGTGGAAAGAGCCAGTAGGAACCAGAATCTAGGGTTGTTTTGCCAAACTAGCCGGAGGGAACAAGGATTCAGGGTTCGGTTTTGCCGAAAGAGCCAGTGGGAACCCGAATTTGGGGTCTTGTTTTGTCGAAAGAACCCGGAGGAATCAGAAACTTATACTGAAAAGCAGGCTAATGTCTGTATGCCAAGGTCTATAGACAAATCCAGGCAAATATATGTTTGTGAGAAGATGAACAGATGAAACATGTGCAGTCCCTAGTTTTATTCTCATTTTGTGATACACCGGGCACGTTCTAAGAAACACTTATTGAGTGTCAGGGGGGGGGGGGGGGGGCGGGACCATTGGAAGGAAGTGTAAGCCTTGATCCGATTGGATACATGAAACCTCTTGTAGAGAAGCAAATGTCCTAGTGTCAATGCCTTTTTTGGCCGGTGCACAATCTTATCTAATTGATACATCCTCAGCATTCGTCAGATTACCTGGTTTCCTCAAGTTTTGCATGTATCTCAGCGTATTTTCCACTGGCGAAGGCGGATCTAGTGAGATGGCCACCAAGCTATGGCCTTCTCGTGGTGGCCAAGGTGGGACAAAAAAATGTTATGTCGTTAGACTTTGAGAATAGCTTCAGAAACTCCTGACAGAGGCCTGTTGCAGAGAAAGAAGCGAAATCTGAAGTGTATTTGAAAATCAGGCACATCTTTGAATTTGGTGTCCCCGATGAGTCGTTCTGGGTCCGCCCTCATGCAAAGAGGAAGCAAAAGTCCTCGAATGCTGGACGATTTGGGCGACTGAGGGGGGGGGGGATCGATGACTGCGGAAGCAATTAGGGTGACCACGGAGGTATTTTGAGTGACTGAAGAGGTGTTTGCCTCCTGAGTCGACATGACGAAATATGGTCTGCTTAGGCAACTATTTGAGTCAACTCGGTGATGGTTCAATTGAATAGTAAATTCAACTTCAGATGGGAGTATTGCGGGTACATCGTGCGGGTATAGTACACGGGCATAGTAGCTACCGATATGGCATGAGGGTATCAAGTATTTCTCCCGGAGCGGAGGAATAATCAAGAAGGCACTGAAGTCTGCCCGCCCCCGCATGACACGTATTGATGTGTGCATGGATAATGTACATGTAATTAAATGTACAGTTCAAACTTCAAGTCAGCGGGGAAAAATGCATGCATGGAAAACGTGTCAGGTTTTATACGTTTTGCCAGCAATTTGACGAGGCTGCAGCACGCTAGAAATGATTCTTCTATCAATAATTGCAGTTCATGCCCCCCCCCCCCCTCCTCAACGTGTAAAATTACGCCTCTAGTTCGGGACGCCTATTTTCCTCTGATGCATCCATATTTTAGGTGGTTTCGGATTCATGCCCAGCTCTAGCTGGGACAGCCTACCTTGCCAGGAGTCGGCATGCCAGCCGCGGACAGAGAGCGAGGTGCTGACTCCAGCCTTGTGGTGGCGGCAGCAGGCGACTCAGCTGGTCAGCGGCGCACGCTGACCGTCGCACCGTAGAGGGTTCGGTGGCCAGCACACCGGCTCGCCACCCAGTCAGCCCTGCTCTGCGGCCGGCCGCGTCACCCGTGGTCGACGACTAGCGCCCGCACGCGCCGATCTCACGTCGACACTCGCAGTCCGCAGTATAACACGCTCGCCCCAGCTGAACTGAGCGCAGCAGCGGCGGCCCTCCCCGGCCGAGACCGGCGCACGACACCGCCTCGCCGCGCGCCGCTCGCCGAATGGCGTTCTAGTGCGGCACGCTGCCGCCAGGGGCGCGGCGGCGCCCCGTCTGCCTGCCGATCGCCGCCGGCGCTGGCTCAAACGTCAGCCGGCGTTCAAACGGTCGTTCGCCGTGCGATCAGCGCGCCGCAGCGCCCGACTAAATCACAGACGTCTGCATGTGATCAGGTGTAACCGCCAGCGTCCGGGTGATAGGGCGTGCATGGCAAGGTCGCGCCAGCTTTCAGCGGGCGGCGGGTGACCGGCGGGTTATCGACCGTGGCCCGGCACGACACGTCTTGTGCGAGTCGGCGTCGCAGTCAGCGACCGCCGCCACGGACGCCGACCTTATCGCGGGCGCTGCCGTCGGTCGTTGTAGCCGCCGGCGCTCCAATCCCGCAGCTCACGCTGCGCTTTAACTCCGGCCGGTTAGCGCCCGGTTCAAACGGCTGGCGTCGAACGGACCTGCCGGCAGGACGCTGGCAGCGAGGTGGATCTGTCGTCACCGCCCCCCCCCCCCCCCCGGCCCCCTCCCATCACGAGGCGCGGCCGCCCGCGGGCTGCGGCAGCTACCAGACAGCCGGCCGTTTCCAGCCGCAGCCCGTGGCCGCGTCATGCGGAAGGCTTAAGTCGTGACTCACGCAGGTCGGCTTGGCGTGACTCAAGACCACCGCCGATTGATTGCTCACTTTTCGAGTGGTCAGCGCACGCGTACCGTGCACGTAAGCCGTGTACCACGAGTGCGCTCGTGATGACGCCTCGATTCGTGAGATTTACTAACGCATGGACCGCGGGGCGTGCGCTCCAGTTCCGGAGAAGGCGAACATGACAATATGGTGACGGCGAACCGGCCTGCCATGGCGACACGGTAACGGCGAACCGGCCCGCCATGGCGGTATGGTAACGGCGAACCGGCCTGCCATGGCGACACGGTAACGGAGAACCGGCCTGCCATGGTGACACGATAATGGCGAACCGGCCTGCCGTGGCGACACGGTAACGGCGAACCGGCCTGCTGTGGCGACACGGTAACGGCGAACCGGCCTGCTGTGGCGACACGGTAACGGAGAACCGGCCTGCCATGACGATACGGTAACGACGAACTGGCCTGCCATGACGATGCGGTAACGACGAACCGGCCTGCCATGGCGACACGGTAACGGCATGTCAGCAATGGAGAGCTGAGTGTCGGCATCGCCGCTCTGCCGACACGCCAGCGCCTGTCGGCGTCGGGCTGCCGACAGGCTTGCGCGCGTGGCCCTCAAGCAGGAGCGCCGCCGGTCCAACAAGCAAGCTCGCCAAACGCCACGGGCATGGAGGAGCGCATGTGCACGTGCTGCTGCTTCATACGTAACGATGGCAATGATTCCTTATTCCTGGCTCTGGTTATATCCCAGGAATAGCACCACCAAGCACCGGCGGCGCAGCTGGGACAGCGCGGGAGTGGGAGCAGAGGGGCAATAGTACGTTTTGGCTTCCTCAGAAGTTTGGAAGGCCGCGCTCGCTCAACCAAAGGCTTTGCAACCCACGTTGATCAGCAGAGTTCATATCACGGAGGCCGCCATAATTGAGCCAGAGTGACTACATCGTGTTCAGAAGGCTCTTCTGCATCAAGAAATCGTTCTCTGGATCCCGAGAGCGCTTTCATGAGTTCGGTAGCCCATGCTCTAGCTGGTGAGACCCGATTTTGTATAAAAACGTCTCTTTGCTGGTTCGGGAGGCTTCCGCTATGGACTAGCAGACCCTGTTATTGACAGGGAGGCCCCGCTATCAGCTAGGGGCCCTTTATGAACTGGGGATTACCGTTATGAAATATTAGACACTCGTGAGCTTCGATGCTCCCTTGTGAGCTAGAAGTCCCCTGATTTGGATTACGGGGCACACTCCAATATTAAGAGACTTCTCTGGAACAGGAGGCTTATTTGCTACAAGGTCCGGACGAAGACGATGCAAGAAATGCGTTGCAAATGTCGTATCTTAAGGATGCTGCATAGTGCATGCTAGATGCAAACATAGCGTGGAAAGGCCTGACCGAGAAGCGGGCCAAATGATGACGCGCACAAACGGATTTTCACTCATTTGAATGACTTTTCTGAAATTCTTGGTACCAAAATCGGCAATGAATCAGAAATAAAAACGTTTCTGGGGGTTGTGCATCGAGTTGAAAACTTGCGATTTTTGCTAAAAAAGCGTGGCTAAAACCGAACGAGCTTGCATCTAACTACACGAAAACTACACCTCTCGAAAAGTTTGCCTTTGTAAGCCTTGCTTTCATACAAGTATAATTGCATTATTTGGGTAGTTGTAATTCTAGGCTATTAAATGCAAAATTTCACAAATCTCCGAAAAAGACACCTTCATGCGCGTGCACATAGATGAAAAACGATTATATAGGTACTGAGTTTGCTCATCGACACCGCCTGTGATGGCTATAAGCCTTTTGGTGCCCGCAGCTAGCTTGCCCTGCATTTTCTATAAGGTCAGTCATGTCACGAAAGGACGTGAGGCTTTTGTGTTAAGCCCTTAACTTTTGCACTTGCCATTCATAAGCAGTGATCGGAACCGGGTTATGTCGGCTCCACAGTATTGCGTCCTGTTCCGATTTAGAACTCGTGTCGTTTGCTTTGTTTTCTTCCAAATCGCTTTTGGGAATTTAGTAAAACAAAAGATGGCTGCAAAATGTATCGTGTTATGGTGTGTATAAAAAAGAAAACTGTTTTGCACGCCTGGTGAGGCTTTACGAAGCTGTCTCTGTTGATGCGCAAATGACGAGTAGATTATTCAGCACACATGCTTGAAATGTGAAGTTCCAAAAGCTAACGAGTAAATTTTAATCGAAAATATACTATACTTGTGGCCGAACGCCGGGACAAAATTTAGGAACGGGAAAGGTGGTGCTGTCGAGGCAATCGAGGAGAAGAGGACTTCACGGATAAGACTTCTTTACTTACCCATCCACTGTCACTGGGGCTGCGCCAACACCAGAACCCCTCACGGTTTAATCCCACACCGGGCCGTCAGCCATCCCCACCCAGTTACGCTTGCCCGGTAACCACTCGCTTGTGTTTTTATTGGAGTTTAATTCTAAGTTATAGAAGAATTTCGGTAATGTGCACATCCAGACTTACCCTCTTGCGTTGGTAATATGGCAAAAGTAGTGTCTGTATGCATACATTTTCCGAAATCGTTACCGACCCACAGCAATACCCATGTTGCATTTCAGCTATGGCTTTTGCCAAGCCGTTCAGACCTCTCGCCCACGCCAACCAGTTATCCATTCTCAGCCAGGTATGCCTGCATGGCACCCACCGGTTTTTCTTTTCACAGCACAACAACTGTAAGCCATGGAAAAGTTTTAGCAACGTTTCCGTCCATCCCAATAACTCCGTTATAATAAAAAGTTGCATTGCAAAATTATGTTGTTGGCCCCCAAGTTAACTGAAATGGCGGTGGGCGCAAGCACTGCATAGCGTCGGAACTGTTTCCAGAAATCCATCCAACTAAAGGCTTCGCACCGATTCTTAAGAAGGCAATAGATATTTTTATTATTTTCCACCCAAACTTGCTGCTTTCCGTTGATAGTTACAAAAAAAGAAATGTCCGTGGAGCTAATGATGACAAAAAGGAGCACAACAAGAAAGATTATAAGATGCTTTTTTATGTCTCGCTAGCATTTTATAGTTGTCTTATCCATACTCGTGCCATACCGGTGATTGTTTTAAATTCTGCACAACTCCAAATCGTCACCCGTTACACATGGGTAGACAAGGTTTCATCCGCCCGTGAAGTTTCCTTTCTGTCCGATGCCATTCAATTTTTTTTGTTATTTACCATCTGTTGCCCACTCCATATTCAGAACTACCCTGTCTACCCTGAACAGCTTTTTAAGGAGTTCTGCCGCTTAAAAACGAATATTAAAGCATGCCTTATGCTTATATACATGAGCATTTCAACCAAACAAATCAGGCCCGGATACTCGTTGCCCCAATCGTTATAACATATGCATGGATGGTGAATAATCGAAGTCTGAACCAAAATGTAAAGAACCTTCATTCCTCTATTGTTATGGTCGGCACTAAATGTTACTTGATCGATCAACAAGCTTCCTTAATAGAATGCATCAACCGCCCACAAATCATCAAGTGTGCTATTTTTCCCCATGCCGCTCATGAATCTGGGAAAAGGCGGAAAGCGTTCAAATACACAGCAGAACATGCCAGCACGTTCTCGAACCGGCCATGCATAAAGACAATGCTTGATAGATAACTAAACTGATCTGGCAGTCGACACAGACAGCGTTATTTGGGATGTTTACGCGAAATCCATACAAGCGACGCGAGGTTCAGTTCGAAATAAGATGCAAAACTGCAGGCCTTCAGAGCCTCGTTGCGATCAATTGCTGGCCGGCACACGCTCAAAAGCAAGGTTAAGAGCGCAAATATCACGTAACATATCGTGACACGACCTGACCTGACCTTGCAAAAGGCTGGGTATGGGCAACATAAGTTGTATAGCTGTCGAGTGAAGTGACAATCAAGAAACCCAGTGCATGCATCTCCATTAAAGTTCTTAACATGCATGTGGTAATCATTTCGGAAATCATTCAAAGGCTAACACTTCATGCAATCCAGAAGGCAGAATCGCACGCAGGGTGGCACCGGGGCACGTGCCCCACGCCTCCTTACGTTCCGAGGGGCGAAAGGGGTCCCTCGGAATCTACGATTAAGGGCCTGATAGGCCGGTTGAAGGTAGCCATTCAGAGGTCCGGCCCAGGGCCGGACACTCAAATGCCAGCCAGAGCGCCCTGTAGGCTGATCAGGGGCCCACTGGGCCAATAAGGGTCTATATCTGGGTCAGACACGACCAGTAATGCACAGTCAGCTCCGAGGCGGCACGGGCCGGATGAGCCATTTCTCAAACAGGGACGGAGCCAGAGCCAGCATTTTACAGTGTTCGGGTCCAAAGCGCCTTACAGGGGCCCCGTGCTGTCAAGGGGCCCTGAG